GGTAGTAAGTGCCCAGTGTTATTTTGCATTTCCAGCATTTGGCCGATGATTTTGTGGAAATTTTTGCCAGTCTTGTCGGTCATTATTTACCTATAGCTATTGTCATTTCATTTTGTACATACTACTAGTAAACTAAATTTAGCTTAATTTTTATTATACATTCATTGCATCAACCTGTATCCCTCCAGCAGTAGTACAATCTTATATCTCTTGCCATTTGTAGCATTAATGTTCTAGGTACTTTCTTAATAAATCTTATATAAATCTCCCTTGGCTACATGCTGTTCCTTTCGTATCTCACAAAAGCTTGAAACCCAATATCTGCTTTGTCCATCAGTTTATCTTTGGTTATCACTGGTGCTTCTATCAAGATTTCTCTCCTTATCTCTGTCAATTTTCTCTCTTTCTTATTCTGTGCTTTGAAGTCTGGGGTAGAGTTCCAATCCATCCATCTCCCCTTTCTGTATTCCGCTCTTGCCATTATCAACCACGATCACTTTGTTGTCAGTGTCCACCATTTTCTTATCTCTTTGCTGCTTTTTTCCTTCCATGTTTTGAACTTTGTCCTCTACTTTCTTCATTTGGTAAACATCCTCAGTTTCTCCATCCAATTTTTCTGTTTTGTATTCCATATTCTCCAAATTCTTTTCAATTCTCTCTATCACAACTAATAGATTTTGAATTTCAGACATAATCATTTGCAATGTTACAGTTTCTTTTTCCTGCTGGGCCATTCTTTCAATTTTGCATACTGCCACTATAGGGTTCAAGGAATAAACTTCAAACAGGTTCATTTATTATCTTTCAAGTCAAAATGTTGTCTTCTCTCCAAAAGCTAGTGATAGAACTTCCAAAAGGCACGTGTATAAACAACTTCCTACTGTGCACTTCCTACTATCATTGTCAGTCAACAAGCTGAAAGAACCTTGAATCTCAAGTGATCAAAGAGAAAGAAGAAAAAAACAATGTATCCAGCCTCCAGCCTCTGTGGCAGTGTAACTGTTTTTCCTCCTGTTGTTACAATCCTCTTTAATCCTTTTTATTTTCTTCTTTATATACAAAGCTTAAGAAAGAAAAAAACCCTTAAATGGAGATCAAAAACAATCAAATCAATCAAATCAAGCATTATAAAAAAGAAGGGGAATTTGAACCCATAAGTATAAGCAAAAGTGAAAAAAGAAGAAGAAAAAATTAATCCATTCAGTTTAAAAAATAGGGAGCCTCTGTAAAAGTCCCATCCATGAAAAAAAAATTAGAAACTGGATAACACACTAAGTTCAGTGCAGATGAATCTCACCGCCTACAGTCTTTTGTCTTCAATCTTAATTTAACTTAAAATTTTTCTTCGGTAGTCTCTTCCTCTAATAATAATACCAACTTTTCCTCACCAATTTGACACACTTTCTCTTTCTTCTTTCTTTCTGTTCCAGAGCTGTCCCAACTTCAGCAGCTTCATTAGCTGTGTTTTTGTCGCCCCCCCAAAAGGGCTATTCCTGGATCTTTCAGGGACTTTGTGATGTCCCTGAGATCAGCAGGAGGTGCCCTTCTCAATCACCCTCTCTGCGGGACAGTTTAGGTCCGAATGGACCGCCCAGCAGCAGGAATTTGATTGCAATCTCGGAGCACCAAGATTGCACATCATGCCGTCATGACATCAGCTCTCTTCCCCAACA